ATCTCCAGGCTGCACCTGGAGGCTGGCGACCCTCGATCAGAGCTAGAGATGTAAAATTTCCGGAAATTTTGAAGCTAGGGAAAAAAAACTCCGAGTTTTTTCCATTTTTTTTTTTGAAAAAGTGGAAATTGTTGAAAAAATTGGAAAAAATGCTACATTAGCACTTCTTTTTTCTTTTCCAGATTGAAAGTCATTCTGTTACTTTAGGAACATAAAATGTGACTATGGACATTTTTACTCGGCATGAAATTATCACAACTAGCCTATTAAAAATATAGTGTATCCAGACAATGATTACAAACAGAATACCCACCCACATGCAAAAACAAAACAGAAACCTTTTTCTTTTCTTGTGACAACAGCACCTCTCCTAAACGAAGAAATGCATCTTGTTCTTGCATTGGAGAGTTCAGTTGGTAACCTAGGACTTGCTTGTCCTCAGTGCACAGAAATTAGATCAATCTGATACCATACGTATTTTTTAGAAATGCTTTGGAAAATATTTGAACACCTGGTCTGAAAATATTTTATTCATCATGTTAAAATGAAATGTTCCATAATCATTTTTTTTCTTTTCTTTTTTTCTTTTTTTCCCATTTTTTCAGAAAAAAACAAAAAAGGCTTCAGGAAAAAACGGGGGGGGGACGACTGTTTCCCCCCGAATTTTTCCGGTCCTTCATATCTCTAATCACATCTCTAATCAGAGCCCACTGCTACTCCTTCCGTTTTCAAGCCATCCCCTTGGCTTGAAATCTCCCACAGCACCACAAACCCCCTCCCCCCAAGCTGGCAAGATGTACAGGCCCCTCACTGCTCACAAGTCACCAACCCAAAGACAGCCCAGGATCGAGACCTTAACAACCTGACACCGATGCTCCCTCTAAGTTTTGGAGTCTTGTGAGCAAAAATTCTACTTTGTGAGCTACTGGCTTTAAAGCTGTGAGCAGGCGATTTGGCTGCTGCAGAAATCAGTTTGCTCTGGAGCCATCCTTCTTGAGCTAAGTCAAAAATCTGTGAGCTGGAGGCCAAAAAACTGTAAGCTAGCTCACTTTAACTCAGCTTAGAGGGAACACTGCCTGGCACTGCAAGCCCAGGTAGATGCGGAAAACAGGACGGCCTGGGCATGAATTGTGGCCTGCGCTCAGCGTCAGCGCTGTGCGTGTGATAAATTGAGAACAGGATCAGTCCTGGATGAGTGGAGGTTGTTACTGAAACCCTGCAGGAAATATTTTGGCTTCTCCCCTAAATTCAACTTTGGCAGGTGGGGGCGGGAAGTCCACTTTTTAAACCTCGAGTCCTTGGCATTCCTTCCTCTCTGTGTGCCAGGTACGTGCTAGCCACACGAACACATGAAATCTGCCTTGCACTGAACCAGACCAATGGTCCATCGAAGTCGGTATTGTCTACTCAGACTGGTGGCAGCTCTCCAGGGTCTCAGGCGGAGGTCCTTCACGTCACCTACTACCTGGGCCTTTTAGCTGGTGGGCAAACGAGTCAGGGCCTTTTCAGTGGCTACCCCAAAATTATAGAACAAGTTCCCCAGGGAGGTGCATCCTGGCCCCCTTACTTGCAGTCTTCAGGGGGCAGCTGAAGACAGGTTTCTTTAGGGCTGCATTTGACTAACCTGAGCCGTGGTGGCTCAGATGTTAAGACACTGAGCTGCAGACCGGAAGATCAGTAGTTCGAGGCCCGAGTGTCACATGACGGAGTGAGCTCCGGTATCTGATCCAAGCTCCTGCCAACCTAGCAGTTTGAAAGCAAGAAACTGCAAGTAGATAAACAGGCACCACTTCGGTCGGAAGGGAACAGCGTTCCATCATGCCGGCCACATGACCACGGAGAAGTCTTCGGACAGCGCCGGCTCTTCAGCTCGGAAACGGAGATGAGCACTGCGCCCCTAGAGTCGGACTTGACTGGCTTTCAAGCAAGGGAAACCTTTACCTTTACTTGACTAACCTATATCATTATTTATTAGCAGTACTAGTTGAGATTTTCAATTGGGGTCTTTTAGGGTGTTTTGATAAAAAATAATCATTGGTTCATTGACATTGCAAGCCACTTTGATTTCCATAAGGTAAAAAGGTAAAGGTTCCCTTCCTCGAAAGCCAGTCAAATCCGACTCTAGGGTTACGGTGCTCATCTCCGTTTCCAAGCCAAAGAGCCAGCGCTGTCGGAAGACGTTTCCGAGGTCATGTGGCCGGCATGACTAAAGACCAAGGCGCACGGAACGATGGCCGGCATGACTAAACACCAAGGCACACGGAATGCTGTTCCCTTCCCACTGAAGTGGTACCTATTTATCTACTTGCAATTTCTTGCTTTCGAACTGCTAGGTTGGCAGGAGCTGGAACTAGAGAAAGGTACCATAAGGCAGAAAGGGGCTAATACATGTTTTAAATAAACAAATGTATAAATATTAGGAGAAAGGGCAAAAAAACTAGCACCCCCTTCTAGCCAGTTCTCTTGGGATACAGCAGGGCTAGACCCGGGGCGGATCTTGGGAGGATCCTTTTCCAACCACCGCACAGGGAATGAACCTCCAAACCCTGAACTCTATTTTACCTTTCCTGTTCGTGTAGCTCAACACCTTCGTGGAGGTTTTGCAACCCATCCTGGGAGACCAATACGAACTGCAGTGCATTACAGACACCCAGGTGGGTCCTGATTATAGGGATGCCAACTCCAAGCTGGGAAATTCCTGGAGATTTGGGGGTGGAGCCTGGAGAGGGTAGGCCTTGGGGAAATACCTCATTATGCCATAGGGTCCACCCTCCAAAGCAGCCATTTTCTCCAGGGGAACGGATCTATGTCACCTGGAGACCAGTTGTAATTCCAGTTGATCCCCAGGCCCCACCTGGAGATTGACAACCTAGATCACTCCCCGCCCCCAGGCTCTGGAGAACCAGTTTGGTGTAGTGGTCAGGAGAGCGGACTCTAATCTTGGGAGAACCGGGTTCGATTCCCCACGCCTCCACATGCAGCTGCTGGTGTGACCATGGGCCAGTCACAAGTTCTCTCAGAGCTGTTTTCTCAAGGGCAGTTCTTGAGAGAGCTCTCTCAGCCCCACCTCCCTCCCAGGGTGTCTGTTGTGGGGAGGGGAAGGGAAAGGAGATTGGAAGCCGCTCTGAGACTCCTTCAGGTAGTCAAGGGCAGGGTGTCAATCCAATCTCTTCTTCGTCTTCTTCTCTTCTTGCAATTATATCCTGACACCTTCTTCTCTTCGCTGCAGGGGCGCCAAATCCTGGTCCAAATCAAGGTGTCAATTTACAGCAACTTCTCCACGGGTTGTCTTCCGGAACCTTCCGACTACTCCCCATATAAACCCTGCAGGGCCCAGAGATCGATTTTCTACTTCCCGCCACACCAGGCCAACCCACGTGATCCTTGTCCGTGATCCACGTCCCTCAGAAGCACAGGCCGGGAGAGCGAAAAGCTACCAAGATCTGAAATAAAACATTTTACAAATTATCTGGGTGGCGTGTTTGTTTCGATCGTATTTCCAGTGTGGACCCTGCCCTGAGGCAGAACGAGGCGGTCCTGTCCCAGCAGCGGACTGTGTGGCTGGGCTAGGATTCTGGGGAGACCCAGGTTCGAATTCTTGGCTCTCTCTCCATCAAGCCTTCCTCGCAGGACAGTTGTAGGGTTAAAATTGAGAAGAGGGCAGCTATGTTCCAAACCTGGAGACCCGTGAAGGAAGGGTGGGATAAGAATGTAATAGATACATACTGTACTACTGTGCAGTGTTCGCTCTAAGCTGAGTTAGTGTGAGCTAAGCTCACATTTTTTTAGCCTCCAGCTCACAGATTTTTGTCTTCGCTCAGGAAGGAGGGCTTTATGCAGGAGCCCAATCACTCGCTCCCAACTTTAATGCCAGTAGCTCACAAAGTAGAATTTTTGCTCACAAGACTCCGCAGCTTAGAGGGGGAGTATTGCTACTGTGAATTCCACACTGAACTCAGTAGGAATTAGTTCTGCGCAAAAAGGATGCTTCAAACCATAAATTATGAATTCCCAATAATCGGTCACTTTATGGCTGCTACCAATTTTATTATTGTTTTTATGATTTTTAATGTGATTTTATTGCAATGGGTCTTTGACTCGATTTGTTGTGATCTGCCGAGCCCCTTTGAGGGGTGGGGTGGAATAAAAAAACCCCGAAATAGATAAACAAAGTAAAAATAAATTTTCTATAATATAAAACCATTTTTTAATGCCGCCTTTCCACCCAGGAAAGGAAAGGAGCTGCGGTGGCTCAAGTGGTTAAGACGTGAACTGCAGGCTGTGGAAGGTCAGTAGTTCAGCAGTTCGAGACCCGGGTGCCGCATGATGGAGTGAGCTCCCATCTCTAGTTCCAGCTCCTGCCAGCCTAGCAGTTCGAAAGCAAGACATTGCAAGTAGATAAATAGGTACCGCTTCGGTGGGAAGGGAACAGCGTTCCGTGCGCCTTGGTGTTTAGTCATGCCGGCCACATGACCACGGAAACGTCTTTGGACAGCGCCGACTCTTCGGCTTTGAAACGGAGATGAGCACCGCAACCCTAGAGTCGGACTCGACTGTCTTTCGAGCAAGGGAACCTTTACCTTTTACCTTCCACCCAATCAGGGTCCACAGGGCAGGGAACATTTAAGAAAAGCATTTGGGCCATTAAAGATAGTTAAAATCACACAAGAGTTTGGTGTGGTGGTTAGGAGCGCGGACGCTAATCTGGGAGACCCGGGTTTGATTCCCCACTCCTCCACATGCAGCTGCTGGCGGGGCGCTCTTCCACTGCAGATTTTCACTTTAGTCCTCATATCATTACCCTAGGATTCACTAACCCCTGGGAGCAGCTGCAGACTTGCAAACTGCAAGAGAAGAGTTGGGGAGATTGGAAAATTCCCTTCTGTGTGCTCTGCTTAGGATCCAAGCCATGGATGTTAAACTAAGGGGCATTTAACTTTGAAATTGGTTCATCCATACTTCTACAAAACAGACTTCTTCATGGGTGTATCCATTACTCTAGTACTAGGCATAGCGTTGGTTTCCCACCCCAGGCCAACATTTTGCATAGCTGATCCTTATGTCAAAAGATTGCTCTTGCTGGGTTGGGCTAGAAGTCTGTATGTGAAGGCCAGTTGCAGCAGCATAAGAAGTTCTCCAGAGTTAGCATCTGAAGCAAATGTAGCTGTGCTGTCCGATAGATGGGACCACTGTGAATCGAAAAGGGCATTACATTGTTGTATCTGAAGAAGTGAGCAGTGGCTCACAAAAGCTCATACCCTACCACAATTTTTGTTAGTCTTTAAGGTGCTACTGGACTCTTTTCTACTGTTACATTGTTGTGTTACAGTAATCATACCATGTGCTCTATCTGATCTACCAAGAGCACACCTTTCCTTAAATTATTACACTTGAATTATTTTGGGGGTATTTCCCTAGTGTTATACTTGCCACTTGCCGAAAGAGAGATAAAAATCTTACAGATAAACTAAAAACTACTGTAGATTGGAACTGAGAACTTGCCTTTGTTCTGACTACATTACTTTTCTGCCTCTGGCATTATTATTGAATCCGTTGTTTCTCTTGGCAGTTCTTGAAATGATCCATAAGGAATCATAGTGTGTAGCTGTTTTGTGGTAAAATTATTTCATAATTTAATTCTTGTTTTATGGTAAATTGTATTCCCATCATAGCAGATAGGTCTTGAAAAATCTTTCTTTTTTTAAAATAAGGGGGGAGGGACTACCATTATAGCAGGCAGATGAAAATTCATTCTCTGTTAGCATCAGTCAGCTTGGAACGGTTCATCCCATTCATCTCTTCCAAATGACAGGCTGCACATGTAGCGATGGTGGAGAAGAAAGAATTCTTCACTGTTACTGTTACTGAAGCATAGTCCTATAGAAATTCTGCTTGCCATCATCAGTTGACTTTGGTACAACCTGAATATCATGTCCCGGTACAACCTGAATCACGTCCTTGAAGGTTTTTGTAACCAGCTGCCTCTCTTCAGGATGTTCGTATGAGTACAAATTTTACTGCCCTGATGAGTGAGAGCAAGAAACTGGTGCAGCCTGTTCCCCAGTACAGTGTATTAGTAGTAAAATATATTGCACTTTGTCAGCTTCTTGTGTACTTGCCTATCAATTAATCCCTCTCAAAGTGTATGTACTCGTGGAGTCAAATCATTAATTACCCGAGAGCTTGCTGTTTATTACTTTGGTTGCAAAAACAGTAAGAAGTAATAATAATAATGACCCGAGAGAGCTGCTATCAAGGTTAGCTGACAAGGCTATTTTTTATTTATTTATTTATTTGCAAGGGAACCTTTACCTTTTACCTTCCACCCAATCAGGGTCCACAGGGCAGGGAACATTTAAGAAAAGCATTTGGAAGTAATTAAAAATACAGTTAAAGTTATAAAGTAATTCAATTAAAACACATAAATAACACCAAAAGGAGGGCCAGCTACTGTTACTGGGGCTATGCCAGATGAAATTCAAAAAGTCCTCACCTGCTAGTGAAAGACACTCCTTGGGCAGGGAGTTCCAAAGTTTTGAGCTCTCTCAGCCCCACCTACCTCGCAGGGTGTCTGTTGTGGGGAGGGGAAAGGAGATTACAAGCTGCTCTGAGACTCCTTCAGGTAGGGAAGGGCGGGGTATAAATCCAATCTCTTCTTCTTCTTCTAAAACAGTCCGATTAAAAACACATAAATGTACAGCCTTTAAGGAATACCAAAAAAAAAGGACGAAGAAGAGGTGGAGGGAGGGAAAAAAGTTATCCCCACTTGAATCTGCCCCCCTCCCCCCGCCCTTTCTGCTTTTGCACCTGGGTCCTGGGTCCAAATCCTGCACTCTCTAGTTGCAACCAGTGTTCCCTCTAAGCTGTGGAGTCTTGTGAGCAAAAATTCTACTTTGTGAGCTGCTGGCATTAAAAGTTGTGAGCAAGCGATTTGTCTGCTGCATAAATCAGTTTGCTCTGGAGCCCTCCTTCCTGAGCTGAGACAAAAATGTGTGAGCCGGAGGCTAAAAAACTGTGAGCTGGCTCACACGAACTCAGCTTAGAGGGAACACTGGTTGCAACCAATGTTCCCTCTAAGCTGTGGAGTCTTGTGAGCAAAAATGCCACTTTGTGAGCTATTGGCGTTAGAATTGTGAGCAAGTTATTTGGCTACTGCATAAATTAGTTTGCTCTGGAGCCATTCTTCCTGAGCTGAGACAAAAATGTGTGAGCCGGAGGCTAAGAAAACTGTGAGCAGGCTCACACGAACTCAGCTTAGAGGGAACACTGGTTGCAACCCACGACAGTCGAGCTCTGGGGCCCGGGATCCTCAAGGGACTTACTCCGGAGGGGGAGGGGGGCATTGCAATTCGATCTCAGAACTTGGGGACGACGTGCGCAGGTGACAAAAGGCATGGCTTTAAACCGAACGGCGCTGCGTAGGGGGGGGAGAGAGAAAAGCCAGCGCTTTCCCCGACCTGATTGGCCGCGCTTGCACATCAATTCCCAGTTCCCTCTCCCTATTGGCGGGCAACGGGGGGGGCGTGTGCGCAAGGAGATCCTGCTAAGGTAGGGCCGGAGCGCGTTCCTTTCCCTTGGCACAGGGAAGGAAGGTTGGAGTTGGAAAGGGAAGGTGGGGAATGGTGGGGTAATTTCTTATGGGAGGCTTTCCTTGCAGGAAGGGGGGGGGGAGAAATGCAATTCCAGACACACACACCCCCCCCTGCTCTTACTGCTCCACAGAGTAGAGTTGCCAGGTCTGCTTTGGGAAATACCTGGAGGCTTTGGGGGTGGATCCAGGAGAGGGTGGGCGGT